AGTGTACATTGACGGCCCATTCGGAAGCGCGTCTGAAGACGTGTTCAAGTATGAGGTTGCTCTTCTCGTGGGGGCGGGGATCGGCGTTACCCCTTTTGCCTCGATCCTGAAGAGTATTTGGTACCGCATGAACTATCCGCAGAAAAAGACGAGACTGAGGAAGGTATATTTCTTCTGGGTGTGTCGAGATTTTGGCTCTTTTGAGTGGTTCCGTTCGCTACTTCTGGCTATCGAAGCGCAGGATAGGGCAAACCATATTGAAATCCATACTGTATGTGAACCTCTCCACCCCATCACATCAGCTGATGATATCGATCGACATTCTAACTGCAACCCAAACCCCACTACAGTATCTCACCGCCCAAATCAAATCTGACGATGCCACCAATATTATGATAAACGATGCCAATGCAGACCAAGACGCCATCACCGGCCTGCGGGCCCCGACAAACTTTGGCCGCCCAAACTGGGATATGGTCTTCCGATCGATTCGCAAGATCCATGCTCCGGCCGAAGCGGGAGTGTTCTTCTGCGGGCCTAAACCCCTAGGAAGTACACTGCATGTCAAATGCAACGTGTATTCTGAGCCTGGTTTTAACTTTGTGTGGGGGAAGGAGAACTTTTGATGTCGAATTAGACACATGCCGTCTGATCAGCTTTCGTTTGTTTGGACCTATATCAACAAATACGTCCAGCTTTCTTTTGTCTTTGTTTCACCCTTCACTTTACTTTATCTTCTATATTTCATTTTCGTATGTTTCTTGCCATCTGCCTCTAGTTCAGCTTATATGGATAGTGGCGGAGTGGATTTTTCCTTTTTTTTTTTTTTTGTAGCCATTAATCTAGCCGGAGATGTGGGAAGAATGTGGACACGGTAGAAAGAGGTTGTGCGTAATGAGGCGTCTCTTCCTGTATATCTCTATCTGTAGAAACCGTCTCGATGCTGTTTCCGATAGCTGCGAATTGCATTAAAGGTTTCCATTTTGGAAATCCTATAAGCTACGATACTACCACGATCCATTGCATGTAGCATTCAATTAAATATACCTCTTTGACTGTGAAGAAAGGCGTGGTCTACTTTTGGCGAGTTCTGACACAAAAGTACCTTCACCGTATGTGATCATAGCAAAATAATCAACCGATTCTCTATCTAGTGTACATTGTCTAAAGAGAATATAACAAGAAATATAGACACAAAAAAAAAAATTACTCGACAAGTTGACCAAAACGTGTAGAGTCATCATTAGCTGTCATCCGATATCATGAACTCCGGCGCTTAAATCCACTCGCGATGTCACTTCCTCGCTTTCAAAAATCTATTTCTGTTCGTCTTAGTCGGGTGGACGGACGACCTGGGGGCGTCGCAGGGACATCCGCAGACCTCGTGCGAGGCTCCTCAGGATTCCGCTCTCCAGCATCATCATCTCCACCAGGAGCACCCCCTGTACTATCCCTTTGATTATTCTCATTAACTCCCTGCGACTGCCCATCCTTCGAAGGCGGCGACCTGAACATAAATTGCTTCCCTTCCTCGCCCTGTTCGCTAAGCCACCTGAAATCCTCCTCTTCGACCAGGATACCACTACTCTTAGTGCCACTGCTATTGCTACTCCGTTGATTATGGCCGCGGGAACCCCGTCGTATAACCCGTTCCTCCTCCTCTTCCTCCTCCTCATCATCATCAGCAGCAGCAGTGCGCGTGGAGGGCACAGCCAACCGAAACATGGAATCCTCAACTTTAAAGGCTTCCTCGACAGCTGGAGTCGCAGGCAGCGTCAACATTTCAGTTGCTTCCACGATGCCGTCTGCGACAACACTTGTCTCTCCAGCGTGGACGTGGACGTGGACGTCACCATCCTCCTCGGGATCGTAGCAACCTGCACCAGCTTCAAGAGACGATGCGGACACCTGGTCAGCTGGCAGGCTGGCAGCAATTTGCCCTGTCCAACGACTGATCAAATAGCGTTTAATCTTCGAGACAACACCCAGGCTATCAACACCACTATCGCCTGTGTTCCGCGGAACATGGATGGTTTTCTCAGGGGCACTCCAGCGTTTGATGAGAGACCATTTGAGGCGTGCAAGGCGGCCTTTGGGAAAGATGTAGTTCCGGGGCCCCGTAAGGGACCACAATTGGGGATTCTCGGTGGCCAGGTCATGGAAGAAGTTCTCGTAGATACCCCGCTGGTAGGGAGTTTGGCGCCCGCGGGCCATGAGGTGCTTGACGATGTACCAGCCGATGAGCACGCACAGCATGAATGGTACGCTGGATATAAAATACCACTTTATGCTTGGGTTGTCAGCGAAGGTGTCGACATTCATCCCTAGTGTAAAGCAGAAGTTGTTAGGCTTGAAAAGGTCAGGTCGGCCACGGGGATGTCTGGGGCCACAAATTACCAAAAAAGCCAACGATAAAAGTCAGGGGCAGGAAAACGAATGTTATCCAGCTCAACCGCCACACTAGATGTTGGGTCCTTAGCAAAGAGCAGACTCCAGCGGGATGAAAGGAAAGGGACACTTACTGCTGGTACCAAGTTTGATGCTATGTCTGCTATCACGGATTGAAACGCTCTGGTACAGCAGCAAAATCAACGATTTCGTCGGCTTGACCAAGTCTTCCGTAACCAACGTGCCCAACCTGTCGTAATCTCCCGGGATACTGTCCAGCCACGTATCATCCGTCTCCATATCATCTGTAGAAACCTGTTAGCACTGGGTATACTCAAAGCCACAGCTACCAACCCCCCAACAACAGCAACAGCAACAGCAACAGCAACAACGAAAAGCACCAGATGGCAACCTACCCACCAGCTCCCCCAGTCTTGTCCTCATCTCCTTCACAACATCGATATGTATAAACAGCAACTTCTCCACCTTCAACCAGATATTCGAGTTCGTCCACAACTCCGGCGCCCGCGTCTCGTCCGCGGGCTGCTCGTAAACTTTATCTTCCAAAATACTAACGTGGTCATACGCCAGGTCCAAAAAGGCATCCCACTCCATCACCACCGCCTTGAAAACGTCCTCCAAGATAATCCTGGAGCACTGGAACGCGAGGTGCTCATCCGTATCCACGAGGTCTCGGGACTCAAACGCGAGAAAGAATGGCAGCCGGCGCCAGCGAGACTCCCAGAGACGACGGGCAGCGATCAACGTGTCCTCGATGCTGTTGGAGTGTGAGTTGTCAAAAATGAGGATGGCGTTGCCGTTGTCGAGAGTGTCGAGGCGGGGGATGTACTCATGCTTCGTCAAGTGGCTCTTGACGCTCTCGGACTTGGGGGGTTCGCTGACGTAGGGATTCTTGATATCCGGATCCAACGGCACATCGACGGCAACCTGCTTGTGCTGAACGTAGCAGCCGATTCGCTGTACATAGACATCATAGCCAAATATGGGATTATCTGGAGTAGCGTCAGCAAGCATGTTTCCCATCCCCATCAGCGTCTGCTTGTTGCTCTCTCATATATCGCTACCACATCGCACAAACCGGGGATGGGAGGCCCTACCATCTTCGTCAAAGCAATTCAGCCCCATCATCTTCAAGCTATCATCCTCCTCATGCTGAACCCTCGACGCGCCGGCTACCGGATCACGCACGGTATAGTGTTTGAAATAATCCAATCCAAAAGAGGTCTTGCAAATCCCGCGCCACGGATCATATTGGACTTTCCATGTCTTCCCGCTGAGAAAAGGCTTGCCTCCACGCCGTTCAGGTCGCTTATGACGGACATAGCGACCAAAATCAGTGCCGACAAGGTCATCTCGGTTGTCGATGTTGAATTTGCGTAGAAGATATTTGGTAGCCCAACTTGCGTTCTGGATATGGAAAACACGCAGCACTGCCTCATCATTTCGTTCCGGATTAATGTACACCTTTCGCAGCTGTTCGAGGTCATAGATTTCCTGCGCGGCTACTTTCCGCATACCGACTTTACAGTCATCTAATCCTCGAAAAAGCAGTCAATTAGCTAATGGGCTCCTCTTCTTTGTTCCCCACGGTCTGCTCAAATCCTACCCACCCTGCTTGACGAAATCGATTATTAGGACCCGACCGCTATATAGGTCTATTTCAGAGTATTCTCTATGCCATTTGGGACCCAAGTCTTGTTTCCGCGGGTGGAGAGCTGGAAACGTTGCAAATCAAAATAAGCTTTATATCCGTCCGGTGAAAAATAGCCAGCTATTTATTTATCATACTTCTCGCTTTCTTATTACGTTTGGGAACAGTCGGTAGTTCCTCTGCAACCCGTGGAGACGGACGAAAATATTCTGCTCCTCCAGAAAATAATGAACGACGTTAGCAAAATCCTATCTATATATTGTGGTTGGAAGCTTGTTGTTTTCCTTGGAGAGAGACGCACCATGGCCTCCTGCAAGGTTCCTGGTGTCCAGGCTGGGTGGGAGAGGCCTCGCGGTGGTCGGCACCGCAGTTGATGAGGTCGTCGGGTATGTTGGGTCTCCCATACCGGAAATATGTGCGTTCAAACATTAAATTTCAGTGGACATACAGCACCAGGAGGATGAAGATGGAAGGCCGCCCAATGCATACAAATCAACAATCTAATCGCACAAGCGGAAGGGAGGTGGGTATATTTTTTGAAAAGACCCCATTTATTTAAACACCCAACAGATGGCGCTTTGGCAGACACCGCGTTTGAGGCTAATATGATTTAGGGTCAACGACACTATTCATCGTCGTTTTTTATTTCATGACGACTTGAATGGATAACTAATTGGTGCTCCGCATTCAAAATAATGTCCAGCGGTTGCTCAGCAGGTTGATTGTTCTCCAAGCGCATGACGAGTCAGCAAGCAGCTGGTGAACCGTAAGGCATCCGGGATCAAGGGTCCCGGTCATCTGGACGCTGGATCTGTGACCTTGGGATGGCAGCTGAATTATACCCGGAATTATATCATCCAAGGGTATGAATAACCAACGGACGAGAGAGACTAGGGAATATATTCCTAGGGTTGAGGTCCGACGAGTTATTGACTACAGGTTAGCACAGATAGATTTTCAGAACCAGAGCCAGAGCTGGAGGAGTAGTTATCAAAAATGCTCCTGTAACTGACGAGAGAAATCCATTCATAGTCTGAAAAGTTAGTTAATTAGTTAGTTAGTTACACGTCAGTTTAAGCTGCTCGGCTCTGCAAACTTACCGTAGGTTTTACTATATTTTTCATCTTACCACTGGATTTGAAGGGGAAATTTCTTGTGTTTCTAATCTTTCTCATGATTCTCATGCACTTGCAAACTGATTTCATAATTCCAGAGTGTGGGGTCTATATTGGTGAGCTGGGTTGGGGTGGTGCGATGTGGTGGGCATCCTGCGGGGATTTGCCTGTGGGGACGAGCGGATTCTGGTCGAATACACTGTTGATCGGTTGGGGAGGGGTAGAGAATTTGCATCGCAGTGACAATCTGGCAGATTTTCCTGTTAGCAAGCATGCGAATATGAGGAGGAAGTTTCGGTAGCTTAAGTGTTATCTGAGACTTCACGCTATATTGCATTTCATCCAGGCTCTTGGGGGATAACCTATACGATTCGAACTGATGAAGCCACGAGTCAGTAGGTGCCCATTTACCAGATTGCGAACATATTCTCAATGTACTTAAAAGTGAATATGGTTTAAAGTCAGCTTTGCATTTGTAAAAAGGAGCTGGTGGAGGGGCCGTTTGGCCAACAGAGCATTGTTTAATCCCCCGCCAGTTGCTATTGCTCTACAGACAGGCTCAGGGCAATGTCCGCCAATCCACTCCTCGGGAAGATGGAATCCGGAGAGAAACATATAACTGTCGACCTGAGGGTTGCTCTCATGATATCAGGATGATGCACATGTCTGCACGTCAAGGAGCCTCTACCCCTTTTCTGCGGTCACAGACTCGAAGGACTGAATTGGATGTAGGGATTTGCTCTGTGCAGATGCAACGCATCCAGTGTTGAGTGACTCTCGATGTATTGGATGCGAGTTTCCGCGTTGGTTTATCCGAATTCTCTCTTTTTGTTGAAATCAGAATAAAGGTTGTCTCCTAGTTGGTTTGCATAATTGTAAGAGCGTATATCAGGTACCAAGGAAACCCTCCCCCAAAACTATTAGCATAGAATATTCTAAAAGTACAAATCTGTTTATTTTTATGTATTCCTGATGGTTGTATCCGCTATGCTCCTGATCCATCCAACTATCTGAGAAGTTCAATTGGAAAAAAAGAAGAGGTAGAAGGGAGTCTGAGGAACAGAAGATGTCAAGAACATCGACACTCAAAAGTAAAGCGTACCCAAAATCACCGTCCCATGCAGTTACGGAAAGCGTACGTTTGCCATTAAAATGCTGGGACGTTTCAACGGGAAGAAATACCAACAGAAAGAAAAAGTGTGAAATTAAGATCTCGGCATGATAAACAAGAATATTTATTTCGAGAACTCGAAAGTAAATCGGCTGAGCCCCTATCGTATTCCTTGCAGATTGAATCTCTATTAAAGACAGAACTTTGACATAGACAAATTAAGATGTTGGAACATTAAGAGAGAGATAGCCCGGTAGAAGGAAGGGAAAATATCAAAAGCTCATCGACAGTCAAATAAATAGCAGTCCAGCCCACTCCTCTGTCCCATCCAGAGACATCATTTTTCTTCAATTTTTCGCCAAAGTCAATACATAACCCCGCGAGTCCCATGATTAAAAAGCAAACAGAACAAATCCCATTTATGCAAAAGAAAATAAGCAAGGTGACCTGGCGGACCTCATGGTTTAGATAGTATCAAGAGAAAAGAAAAAAGATTAAGAAAAATCAGAAACAAAACCAGCCCATAACACACCAAAAAAGAAAAGAAATTTTCGCTACTCCGCCTTCCCCTGAGTTACCTTGGCAGCCTGGATAGCAGACATCTTCTGTGTCCAACCCTGCGTGGGGTGCGGTTTCTTCACGGTGCGCAAGTCATCTGTCGAAAATCCCGGAATACGCATGTTGTAGTTGCGTTCTAGGACGAGTTGGATGTCGCGAATATCGAGGGTTGACGATGGGCGAAGTTTTGCCAGGCGGCATGCGGCGGTGATGACGTCATCGACGAAGTCGTCGGCCATTTGGAGGATAAACTGTTTATTTTATTTAATTTTTGGGCTTGTGTTAGTAGATGGTAAAAGACGCGTAAATACACTGAAAGGAAATGTGTAGGTCGTAGATACATACCTCTTCGGCATCAGGAGTGAGCCCCTCTCCCTCTCCACCACCCGTAACCTGCTTAACAAGTACATCCAGCATCTTCTTGCTAAGCACATGCTGCCCTTCACCCTCGAGCACATAGCCGGGATGTTTCTGAATAGCTGGCTGGCCCATCACACCCCCAGCATTCTGGCTGGGTCCGCCAGAAAGGGTGGGGCGAGCTGGACCCATCGTTACCGGTTCGGGAGCTTTGACGTTTAGGTTCTTTGGGATAGACATGTGGACTTGGCGAGTGGTAGCGTCTGCGCGGTGTGGGGCGTACCCTTGTGGGTGTGCGTGGGTGTTTTGCTGTTGTTGCTGTTGTTGCTGTTGCTGCTGCTGCTGCTGTTGCTGTTGCTGTGACGGCTGAGTTTGCGTGGTCTGTTGCTGGGGATTTGAGTAGGTTTGCGCAGACTGTTGGAACGCGGCTTGCTGGGAAAGAGGGCGAGGCGGGCCTGGGGGGATTTGGGAGGTGCTAGGGGGAGTTTCGGAGTGAGGGGGTGGCTGCTTGAAAGGTTGCTGTTGCTGTTGCTGTTGCTGTTGCTGTTGCTGATGCTGCTGGGTGGAGTTCAGAGGAGTGGATTGGATTTGAGTTGGGAGTGAGACTGGGGCATGTGGTGTTGGTGTTGGTGCGGAGGGCAGTCCAGGTTGCTGTCCAGAGGAAGACATGGATGTTTGACCAGCCTGGTTACGCGCGGCTACGGCAGAAGTGATAGTATGGGCAGCCGGAGCAGAGATAGGAGCAGGGACTGGAGGACGAGATACGTCTGGTATTCCCGGTTCGGTTTTAAGAGCGAGACTTGGTTGTTGTTGTTGTTGTTGCTGTTGTTGTTGTTGGGGGATGGTAAGAGGAGGGCCAATGGGCTTGTTGTGTTGTGTCCCTGATGGAGCTGGTGTTTGCTGCAGTTGCGGTTGTTGTGCTTGCTGTGACTGCGGTTGTGCAGGCGCCTGTGACTGTGTTTGGCTGGAGCGAAATGAATCCTGTTGCTCTTTGAACTTGTTTAGAAATTCACTCCCCTCTTGTAAAAGCTTGTTTGCCGCCAACTGCCGATTTTTGAAGTCCTGCATTTCTTCTTGCGTCAAATTCCCCGCGCTCTGCCGCTGGGTATAAGCCTGGCGCAACTCGTTTAGCTTGACTTTGCCCAGCTCCTGCTTCTGCAACGCAATGCCATAACGTAACTTGGCCTCACTCAACCAGCCTTCAATCTGAGGTTTCTCGATCCTTGGAGGATACACAAAGTTTAAACTGTTGACCTTGGTTTGGATCTGTGGAAGAAGTTGCTGAAACGTCTGTGGCTGGCCCATTTGAGGGCGTGGTTGTTGTGGTTGCGGTTGCTGTTGCGGTTGTTGTTGCGGTTGTTGTTGTTGCGGTTGTTGTTGTTGTTGCGGTTGTTGTTGTTGTTGCGGTTGTTGTTGTTGCGGTTGTTGTTGTTGTTGTTGCGGTTGTTGTTGTTGTTGCGGTTGTTGTTGCGGTTGCTGTTGCTGCTGTTGTTGTTGTTGCGGTTGTTGTTGTTGTTGTGGTGGTGGTGGTGTCTGGGTTGACTGCATACCGTCGCCTTGTTGCTGTCCCGGCTGTCCCGGCTGTCCCGGCTGTCCCGGCTGTCCCGGCTGTCCTGGCTGTCCTGGCTGTCCTGACTGTCCTGACTGTCCTGACTGTCCTGACTGGCCTGACTGGCCTGGTTGACCTGCCTGAGGTCTCTGCTGCTGCATCTGATGAAGCTGTTTTTGCTGCTGTTGTAATTGGATCTGTTGAGCTCTGCTATACTGGTAAGATTTCATGCCGCGCATAAGGGAATTCGAAAGGCCTGCGAGTTTTGCATGGGCGGAATTGTATTCCTGGGAGCCTTGCGGGTGTGAGTTAATGATCTCCCACAGACTCCGGACAACCTGGGTATTTGCAGACTTCTGTGCGTCGTTGAGATGAGGAAGTTTTTGGACCTGATCCGTGCGAATCAGGTTATGCTGCTGGGTGGCGAGGTTGGGGGATGCGTTCGCCGGGTTTGATGGGTTTGGTAGGCTCGCTGGGTTGGGTGGAGGGTTCTGGGACGGGGTATTAGAACTGGGGGGATCCATTGTACTCTATGAGCCTGTATTGATAATGGGGGATCTCTGACTGATCAGAGTAGAGAGAGAGAGCGAATGAGTAGATGGCCTCAGGATGGAGAGAGGGAGAAAGAGTCTCAGCACAATTTCCACATACGAGTGTGAAGCTGTTGGAAGTTGAGATAAACAAACGAAAGAAAAGTGAAGTTGACGAGAGTTGCTGACTAATCAGAGCGTCAGTAACTAACTATAAAAATGGATATAAATCCATACAAAGAATATGAGTATAAATATATTTTCTAAGAGCAATTATCAATTGAGATACTCATTCAATTCATAGTAAAGCAAGTGTTATATATCATCACTCTGGATTTGTTCTCTCCCCTTTTGTACAGGACCGAAACATACTTCTCCGTAGCTGATCTCAAAGAGAGCCATAGAACAGCTCAATCTTGCCAACAAATATCTCCCAAATATACCCCGAGTCCCCAAACCCGTGGCACGCCATCTCAATATTTGCAATTGCGTTATCTCCCATTCCAAGCAAACAAACGCCGCATTTTCATCCCCCTTGCTTCATACGGGAGCCGGGATCGGGCAGTTTCCCACACCGCATTGAGGGCAAATATCCCTCGTTGCCAATATATTAATCTTCCCCTTCATCTTCATCTCCCACTGCAAGCTGTAAGGAGGGAAAGGCGGCGGGCACTGGTAAATAATGGATCCCACTCTGCATCAGCAGGCGGAATAGCATATAGCAACGACGATGCCAGTTTAAAATGGCAACGGCATCTGTAATCCCCATTCAGATAAACAGTATCCCGGGGCTCTCTTAGGATTGAAGCTCCTCGAGGCCCCTGCAAAAGTACCTGTAAAAGTACCTGGATTCAAAACCACAGAGTCCACACATCTGCAAAACCGAATCCAATCCACCCTGTATCTACCCTTCACCTCATAAGCCCACCCAAATCCCTCTCCATCCCCTCCACCCGCTCTTCCAGCCTACGCTTCCGCTCCTCCAGCTCGCAAATCTCAGCCATCTCCCGCCGCAAGTCTTCGTCCGTGACGACCGGGATGGCAGTATCAACCGCAGATTGCGCCATGTCATACTCAGAGTCGTCGTTGTAATTGGAGGCAGAATATGACTGCTGCGATCTATTCATCCGCTTCAACTGTGCAGATTGCTCTGCAATGCGCGCTTCCAGGAGGGCGATGGAGTCTGAGATGTTGACGTGGCGCTGGCGGAGGGAGGAGATTCGCTCTTTGGCGCCGGCGATGGGACTGGCAGCAGAGGAGTTAGTCGCGTTATTTTAGTTCTAACTGTTCCAAGCAAAACACGTATGGCCATAACATATGAATTGGTTTCGACTTACTATACATTGCACAGCATCTCCGCCCCCCGCAGCAAAACGTCAACATTGATCTCACCCCTTGCAGCGGCACGTCCGGCCGAAGCTGCAGATGCAGACATGGACGAGGACGTGTTGGCTCCAGTTGTCTTCTTAATCTCATCCAGCATCTCACCGCCCAGCACCTGGGCAACGGCAAAGTGGCTCTTATTGTGTTTCGCGGCGTAGATGCGGCTGGCCATGGAGTCTCCGCCGTCGCCTGCTGGTCCCATTGCTGCGGTGCGAATTTCACTGCCGGTGAAAGCTGTGGCTCTTCTCGTGGCTCTTCGTTGGCAGTGTCTTGAGGAGTTGCTTTTGTTAGAAAAGGGGTCGATGGAGAAGAGGGCTCGTTCGTGGGGTTCTGTGTCTCGGATGAGGGAGGTTATGTCGTTGGTTTTTAGCATGGCGTTTGCAAAGATTTTGGGAGGGGGAAAGCTGGTTATTTATGCAGTAGTATGTTAGATATGTGTATGTAACGGTTTCATATATATCGTATATATATGGCATCTACTCACGGGAGATCTGCGATGGCAGCTGCAGAGAGGGAGATCTGCTCCAAATGGCTCTCGAGGAGGCCCATGATGAGCTATCGCAGTAATGTAGTGTATGATGTGAGTTGGTCAGGGTTTAGAGAGTTGATAGAACATATCAATTGAGCGGTGAGAAAGTTGTGCAAATAGGGAGTCCCGCTGATATGGACATCTACTTGGCAAAGTGATACCGTATATCTTTGGTGATGTTGGTAGATGTTGCTGATGTTGCTGATGTTGCTGATGTTGCTGATGCTTGCTGATGTTTGCTGTGAAGAAATACGTAAATACACCGATATTTATCAACTCTATTAATGATACTTTGATGATGTGCATGCCAAGTCCCAACGATACAAAGTATTTTCCAGGTACCCATTTTATATATATCCACAACAAGAGATAAGAGATTAAAGAGATATGAAGACACATAGCACTGCACAATGGGATGGATGCATAAGGCATAAGAGATTAAAATCCAAACAACTACTCTCCATATACTTTTCAGATACTCCTCCAACTGTCCTCGTCCGGCCCTTCATTAAGAATGCCAACCAGGTTTGAGCGAGTGAGTTTTACTTCTGCTGCTTGCTGAGTCACCCGGCCTTGGCCTGGTTCTTTCTATTTCTCCCAACGCCCAAACCCAAAAAAACCAAAACCTGGACAAAACATCATCAATCAACTGCATCCAACGACGCAGGACACCGGCAGCATCAGCTTCCCTACAGCCACCTTCTCTGCTCTCTGTTCTACGCTCCGTTCCCTGCTGTCTCCCTACCTTGATTCTGTAGTCTCTGTCTCGTCCTTGTTCTATCCTTCTTTCTCCCTTCCCTCAACTCCCGCTCTTCCTCCGGCTACCCTGGTTCCCAAGCGCCGAGCAGCACGCCTATCCAAGAGCTCTCTCCCAGCCCAATAATGCCCGCAGAAAGGCGTTCTCTCAGGTCCAACAAGTCGGACCCCTCCGCCAACGGAGAGAAAGCTCTTTCATCCTCACAGAGCTCCACCTCCAACTCAAAAGACAAACCCGCTCCCGCCACCAGATCATCAGTTCGGAGTAAGACTGTAGCTGGCAAAAAGGGTTCCACCACCTCTTCCCCAAACAACAACATGACCGCTGATGAGAAGCATCATACTAATGGCTCTGAATCTGCGGAGAATCATGTCAACGGGACGGGAGATGTGGAGATGGCGGATGAGGCTACCACCAAAGGCTCTGCTGAGCAGCAGCAGCAGCAGCAACAACAACAACAGCAACAACAACAACAACAACAAGCAGCTACACGTGACGGAGGTGACGGTGATGAGGAGATGACTGTCGTGGTACCTCCATCCAAGAGCTCTAGGTTGTCTGGAGATCCGGATCAGAATAGAACGGATGTTGCCATGAATAGAGCTGAAGACGGTGGTGATGCCTCGGAGATTGAGATGCAAATCGATCCCAGAGACAAAGCCTTATCAGGTATTATTATCATCTTATATCAGCATCACACCACATGACATAGCTCCGGTGACTGACTAATTTCTAATCCCTCTATTATCTTTCTATGTGTATAGATATTAAAAGCAATTTCTCCCTGCTGGAACGGGCCGTTTCCCAATTTGATCCACGCTTTACATTGCGGGTCTTGAGGACGATATCGTCAATGCGGAAGCATCTCTCCGCCGATCTTCTGGTCCAGGTCATAGTAGAGACATACCTCCCCTCGGATTCAATGGCATCCTTCCTGCTCGCGTCTCTAGACAGGCAGTCGGCTTTCGCGGATGCTCCTACAGATTCCTCAATGGATATCGATAATGATGCCAAGTTATCAGCAAAGACCGGAACTGGTGGTGGTGGTGGAGGTGGTGGAGCTGCTGCTGCTGCTGCCGCCGTTGCTGCGCGAGAGGTTCTTCCAGAGGTCGACATTTACCTCTCCATCCTCATCCAGATATATCTTTATGACAAAAAGGATATCGAGCGAGGTGCAAGCTTCTCCAGCAACCTAGTGAATCTATTGCGAACAATGAACCGAAGGACTCTGGATTCCTTGGCTGCCCGTGTCTTTTTCTACTATTCTCTCTTCTACGAACAGCTTGCTCCCCTTCCGCCTTCTCCAGCCGCAGCTGTCATCTCCATCCGCCAGCCCCTGCTCTCAGCTCTGAGAACCGCAGTCCTTCGCAAAGACCAAGATATCCAGGCCACCGTCACCACCCTCCTCCTTCGCAACTACCTCTCCACCTCTCACGTCTCCCAAGCAGACCTCTTCATCTCCCGTTCGGAATTCCCCCCAGCGGCCTCCCAATAACCAAATCGCCCGCTATCTCTACTATCTTGGAAGAATCCGCGCCATCCAACTGCAGTACACAGAGGCCCACGAGCACCTAATCGGCGCCACCCGCAAGTCCCCTTCAACGCACACCGCCGGCGGCTTCTACCAAGCATCCACCAAGCTCCTCATCGTCGTCGAGCTGCTAATGGGTGATATTCCCGACCGTTCAATTTTCCGCCAACCTGCCCTCGAGCGCGCCATCCACCCTTACTTCATCCTCGTGCAGGCAGTCAGCATCGGAGACCTGGACGGCTTCGTCAACACCGTGCAGAAGCACAACTCCACCTTCCGACGAGACGGCACGTTCACACTCATTCTACGCCTGCGGCAGAATGTTATCAAGACGGGGATCCGGATGATGTCGCTGTCGTACACGCGCATCTCGCTGCGGGATATCTGTCTGCGTCTCGGGCTGGATAGCGAGGAGTCGGCAGAGTATATTGTTGCCAAGGCCATTCGGGATGGGGTGATCGAGGCATCGTTGGACCATGAGCGTGGGTTTATGAAGAGTAAGGATGTTGGGGACGTGTATGCGACGGCGGAACCGGGGGAGGTTTTCCATGAGCGTATCCGATTTTGCTTGAACCTTCATGATGAGAGTGTTAAGGTATGTTTCTTTCTTTTTTTTTTTTTTTTTTGGTTACGTTTACGTATATGTATGTACGATCTAACTGGGCTAAAACAGGCCATGCGATTCCCGATGAACCAACACCGCATCGAGTTGAAGAACGCGCAGGAGGCGCGGGAACGCGAGCGGGAACTCGCCAAGGAGATTGTCGAGGGGGACATGGACGATGACGATGCCGGAGGGGACTTTGATGGGATGTAGCGGTGTCCATAATGTTCGTGTCAGAGTCATATATTATTTTGTTGTCACGGGCGGGAGGGGTGGTTTGATCTTTGATTGACAGACATCAATTATACTTAATTGGGACCAGGGAAGAAAAAAAAAAAA